GGGTGCACCGCCGACATGCCTCCTGTCCGGAGTGATATTGCCTGCACAGGAACACGTGGTACCATAATTCCCTGCGTACCAGTGTGGTGCGATTGCAAAAAAATAGTGCATGTGATATTTTTTGCTATTGCACTACACAGGGTATTGCACTATCATGCATTTCAGTGCGGACGATCACACTGCGGGTGGGAGGCGTGTTAGCGGTGCCATTGACATGAATGGCACAACCATGCCCCCTCCCACCCCAGAACGCGGGGAGGGTTTGTTTATGCAATCAAGTGCGTTACATAGTTACATAGTATTTGAGGTTGAATAAAGACATTAGTCCATCAAGTCCAACCTATTAGGATCTCATTCTAGGAGTACCTGTACCCCTGTATATTACAAATGCATTGGATAGTGTAAACAAGCCCTGAATAAGTTTCAATGGAACATTTAATCTGTTTTTATAATTTCACCCCACCAACACATTTTTTTTATTATTAAAACAAATTTAAATTTGCACATCTATCCTTGCCTGCAACCTCTCACAGCCTCCAGATCTCTGGACAGGCTGCACTCTCTATTTATCTATCAATCTGCTACTCTGGGGCAGATTGAAATCTATCTGCTGCACTGTGGAGGACAGTGCAGCCGAAACTTTAACTTAATTACTGCCCGACCGAAAGTGGTGAAACAGTCTATTCTCTCCCCAGGCCCTATCAATGTAGCAGGTGGTCCAAGGGACCTGGGGAGAGAGGGGACCCTGCTTCACTACACAAGGAAGTCTCCCTTGCGCTGCCACGATGTGTCCCTGCCCTGGCTCCCTGCTGAATGGGGCAGGGGAGATTAAGGACGCCACAACCCACTTTTGAGTTGCGACACATTAGTTGAGAAACAGGGCTGTAAGCAATGCATTATGGAATATGTAGTCTTGAGAAATCGAGATTGCATCACATCAAACAGCAGGGAAAGAGATGCAGCGCACACTGGGAATCCATAAAGTAGTGAAAATGATGGGCACACATAAGGCAGCACTCACTACATAAAATGAATTTCTTCAAGTAAGCTTTGATTGCATTATAAAAAACAACCATAGTATGTATTCCTATTACAATGCTGAAATATAACAGGAAAGTGCATGCTCTGACTTTTCAAACATTGTTTAACCCCCTGTAGGCAATCAATCATACTTTAAACATATATACTGGGAATATTTGAAAAACATGCAGAATTGAGTTCCCGTACACAGTGCACATCTTACAAGCAACAGCTATCATATCGCCATTTGGAGAAATAAACTATAAAGAGGGAATCATTATAAGCATTTGAGCGGTACACAATTATTTTGCTACTTACAACTTCTCAAAGAGTTAACCAAGTAGCAAAGTGCTGCGGGTTGAGCAATGGGCATTGAGTCTCTGCTTTTAGATTGCACAAGTTATAAAAATCCAATGGGAATGTAAGCGTTCACTTGTGGACAATTTTCCTGTACAAGCCTAACTTTCCACACAATCGACAATGTACTGAACAATGGATTTTCACATCAGCATTACCGAGGGTATTGCAACATGGATAATTGTTTTAATTTAAAATAAAACATTCAATAGTATGACGTAAAATGCATGTTTTCAGCCTGGTAGGTCAATAATTGCCAGAATTTTTCATATCCTAAGAGCTGCGGCATGACACTTTTAGTGTGCTAAGGTTGCCATCATGTGGACAAATAGCAAAAAAACACAAATACATGTACACACTTTTAGGCTAATAGGTGTATAACAGGAAAACAGGATATTGTTTTTAAATATGGAACTGTAGAAATCATTCAATAAAACTAGATAATCCTTTAAAGCCCAAATCCAGCCATAATAGGTTTTGGACTGAGTAGGGAATGGATTGAGGCTCTCTCAGGTATTTAATGCTGTGTGTGTCTCTAGTGGACAGATCCCCCTTAACTTTCAAGCAGAATGTG